ATTGTAGCGTCCAGGTTGATCTTGGGTGTCAAAGTGAGGAAGGTGTATAAAGATAGAAAACAGGAGAAAATGGAAGGAAGAACGAATGAGGTAGGACGTTTCGGTCCATTAAGTCATATAAGTTTTAGCTAAAAAATCAGTTTTGTTCATCCAGACTCGTTATGTTTAACTGCTTGAAACGTTTCATTTTAGCCACAAAACGGGAAGCGAGCTTTTGGCGGAAGATGTGAAAATTTGAGTTAAAAAATCTCGAGATTTGGCCTTAAAGATGGAACATACCGTAATATCGTAATATCTCGGATAGGATTTCATTCGTTGACCACTTGGAGTTTTCAGAACTAATCGATAAACGCAATTTGGATGAAGACCACGTATACGATATTCACCACGTTCATCTGTCGTATCTTCTTCCTGCAACTGGCTGCACTGCTCCGACACTGCTTCCACAACCATCGAAGATACTGGCTGTCCAGCAGGATGTGAAACTTTGCCAAAAACACTGGAAATAGTTGCAAAAGCGTAGGAAAATAATGAAAGAAATGAAGGAACAAGGACAGAAGTAACAAACGAGATATGGCAATGCCACAGGTCGCATGCCCCTTGTGGTAGTCGATGCGGATGTGTAGATTATTGAATCTAATCTAGAAATTAGCCCATTACAAAAATTCATATCTATTCATTTCACTTTACCCCCAAACATGTGAACAGTACAATGGTCGTACTAACGAAGAGGTCTAGTAGTGATAATAATCTGAAACATTGGCGATGCACACCGGGCGAGCCCGTGTGATCATGCGTTTTGGCAGTAATTCGTGCTGTTGTAAAATCGCTTGAAGTTCCAGCAGCTACAAGTTATGGCATACTGGTCCTCGAAATTCAAGAAGTTAATTGAGCAACCACATGGTACTTCGTCAGGGAACATCCCTTCAAAATTTCAGCTTTCCGTCTTCTCTGATCCCCGAATTAGTGATTCTCCTGCCAAAAAATTCCACGGGGTAGTGCCTGAGAACCGTGCACACCTTGAAGCTGAATCTGAACTCTTTGAGTTCTATGCGGACCGGCAACGCAACCTCAAAATTTCAGCTTTCTAACTTTCCTGGTCCCCGAGTTGGTGTTCTCCCGCCAAAACTGTCACGCGCTCGTACGCGGGGCCCAGATATGCGTGAGAGTTGGTACTGCGGCGCTGAGGCGGCACTTGGCTGGAGAACCCACTGGGAAAATTTTGACGCCAGAGCCTGTTTAGTTGCCGAGTTGAAATACCCGGACAAACACACACACACACGCGCGCACACACACACACTCGCACGCACACCGGGGTCATCACAATATGCTTTTTTTGCATTTGCATAAATGCAAAAAAGTATAATTTAATGCATGCCAATAAGAGGCTGCAATGCTAATTTATCGGCAAGAATTTGTAAAGAAAATCGAAAATAATATACGTGAAGGAATTACTTTATCATTTAGTGATGAAAACTAAGAGATAGTTGATCAAACTGAATAATACCGGATAAAAAAAAAAGGAAAAAAAATTCAACGATTTCAATGTTTTCGCGATTTTTAAACATTTCTAATAATTATTCAAATGTGCTAAAATACCTGTATGCGAATCGATGCCCTTTCACGCTAACTGTTTCAAGTTCACCTTCATTAATGTTTATCGTTAAAGATTTCGGCTCAAATTGATACTCCTGCAGTATAGGTCGCAAAAAATATTCGCCCGGACGCTGAAAATATGTATATATCAAGGGAATTTACACAGCAATGCCAGGGATAAAGTCGGATGGAAAACATATGAAATTAATTTGACAATGTCCGAAGAATCTTCACAAAACAATTACACCATGATAAAAACTTCATAATTTTAAGCAAAAGAAAAGCTTAGGACAATACTTACTAGGCCAACGTAACTGATTTTTCCCGTTTCATTGATAAAACTATTAGATCGGTAATTTCCCACGCCACT